TATCGGGTTAAATATCGGTCGGATATTCAGTTTTAAGGCCGATACAGGCCGATACTGATAGGGGGCCGATTATATCCTGCATCCCTACTATATATACAAAATGTTTTAAATCGGCTACAAAATAATAAGCTTTATTTCAGCCAATGAAAGCAGTAGAAAGGAACCTGCAACCCTACAGACAATGGTTGGCTGATGGAAAATATGCAAATGTTTTAGATGGCGTAAGACTTTTTGACAAAGCAATAGATTATTAACATCATTTATTTTCTGTTTGTGTTTCACATTCTTCTAGAAAAATATCTAAAATTCTAAATGACTGTAGTTTTCCCCAACAGATAACACAAGCTGTTTGGCCTTGATAATGTCAAACAGCTTTTGGTAGAGGTAGTGAGATAGTCTGGGGTGTCACCTTCCTTACTGGAACAACAGGGCTCGCCATCATTGGAGCCAATCTCAATACAGTGAGTATTTCTTAAGAGATTATGGATATCACCTAGTGGTAATCCCATACATACACGCCATAATGCTAATACTTGATCCCACAGGCTGCAGTTTATCAAGGACAACCTCCAGAATTTGGCAGTGGAGACATGTAATGCAATGGTAATGCCTGATAATGATCTCGTTTTTCTTTTTTTTCTTTTATTTTTAAGCAGCAAGATGCCAAACAAAGTCAAGACTTCCCTCAGAAACTGAAGTTGGCTCTCCCTCTTGTTGACAAACCAGGAATTAAACATTTTACATGCATGCTGCTCCCCAAAGGGGGTGGATTAAATGCAGATAATTAATTTCGTTGCTCTGTTATTGTGACAGTGTAATGACAATAAATTAGATGAAAAAACAAAAAAACTTTCCTGGCTTAAAATCAGCATGCACCAGAGGACCCAGTGTCTTACTATCTGAGGACCTCTGACCTAGTAAATCAGTTTCCTAACATTATTCTAATATTTGTGGATAACCTCAGGGTCTGCAGTGGTGCCTCTGATTCAGCTCGTCCAGTACTTTTGGACATAGATACTTTCTTGCTTTTCAGTCAACGCCAGAATCTCAGCCTGGTTACACAGCACAGCACAACTCAGATCTGAAGAATGTCTACGCATGTTAAAAGGTTTATTACTGCTCAAACTGTTCTTCACTGTTCTTTGCCTCAGGAATTGGGTAACAGAGGGGCCCAGGACAAACAACCATGCACACTTTAACACACTGTCTTACTTAAGGGTAGTTTAGAGTAACCATTAACCTAACAGTCATTTTTAGGGGTGTTGGATCTCACTGCAAAAAGTTTCCATCTAACCATTTCTAACTATTCTTATATTTATCCAAAAAGCACTTTTGAGTTTGTTTTGAGAAGGAAATGTTAAGCAAGAGTAGATTCTGTTAGATTTTTAATCTCTTTTTGGAGAAAATCTACTTGAAAAATAATTGCAATAATCTGCATTAATCTGCAATAATTCGCACAATTTAAAAAGTCCTGCCAAGTGCAACTGTCTTACTGCTCTAGCAGATTATCAATAATCTAAGATTAAAAAAAAGTGTTTTTTTTCCCACAATATAAGATTCTAAGACTTGATTAGATTGACAGTTTTTGCAGGGAGGAACTTGGAGTACCTTGAGAGAAACAACATGCATAGAGAAAGACCCCAGGTTGGGTTTGAACTCATGACCTCCTGGCTACAAATGTCTGGCTGCTGTGTTTGCAGTAACAGCTCTAGAAGGTGTATGTATACCTATAGTGTTATGAGTAAAGTTGTATACATGTTACCACGTGTATATTTCCATGCATCTTATCTTAAAGATGTGTTAATGGTGACTTCACAGGTATGACCAAGAACCAGTGAAAGTTACCGGGCTCAGAAAGAAACAATGGCTGTGTCCGAATGTCCACCCTAATCACTATATAGGGCACTATTATTATTATTATTATATAGTGGTTACGCCATTTTAAATGAGTGTCAGAACGGCTAGTGGATGAAAAAGTAGTGGACTCGAAATTTCCCACAATGCACCTTTCAAAAATAGTGATCATCCATGGTCACTAGACGAGCAGATATATTCCAGAATCCCACTATTATGGGATTTGCAGTCACAGCAGCCCGCTGTCGACATGTGCTGTCGCTTCCTGACAGCGGTGACAAATAACAAAGATGGCGCAGGCACAGTGCGGGGTCATGTGAGCAACGGGGAGCAAAAAGTAGTGATCATATGTCTAAATGGTCAATTAACTGAGTTCACTCTAAAGTCCACTTTATAATCCCTGCTCTATATAGTGATTGAATGATTTAGGGGTTAGGATGGATGTTGGGACACAACCTATAAGAGAGAACTGATGTTTACTTTAGTGTTTTGCTGTCTGATGATACCTTTGGTTGTGACCCCGATCCAGTTCAGGTACCTAGTCAGCTTCTTGGAAATGTAGGTTTTCCCCCGAGCTGGCAGCCCGACCATCACAATGACGGTGGGGGAATTGGTAAACTGGGGAACCGAAGCTGCAACACACAACAGATCAAAGTATTAAAACCGATCTCTACAAACCGCCGTAGAAAGGTTCACACTAAGTGCTCGCAAATTAATCGTACCATTTAGAATAAAATAAAATACCCACCAACAATCAGAAACAAAATCAGAAAACCTTTATTACCAATGGGTTTTTACACATAGAGGGAATTTGTTCTGGTGATGAGGTGCCACACTTAAACAAGCAAACATACAGTTAACATAAAAAAATATGAGGATGTAAAAATCTATAATATCAGATTAGATATTATGCATATGAACACCTGCTACTGCTACCTGGTTATTTTTCAGTGGAGATAAATAAACTACATTTAAGTCACTGAGTCATTCTGCAGTCTGTAATGTAATCACCACTTTAAACTGCCAGTCATCAGCTTTCTAAGCACCTGGTCTTATGTTATCATTTGTTCGGCTTATTACTGTTAACTGCAGAACAGAGCAGGGACACGCGGGTCCACAGTGACCCTTTGGGGTGAATGGCCTTCAGGTTTTTCCATATGTTTCCAAAAAAAGAAAAAGGAATTTTTATTAAGCACAGCTGCTTCCATAGATTTCTCCTCCTTTGATGCACAAATATTAAACCCCGTCATCCTATAGATCCAGAACTAAGGGTAATAACGCTGGATCTGTCTGGGTGCATGTCTACTCACAGCCTCTGCGTTTGCTCAGCCTGCTTCTCATCCATGGAACCCAAGTCTTTTCCAGAGGGGTCCGTGTGAGTTCCGCTTGGCTCTGTGACATTACTTAATCAATCGGCTGCGTGTGTGTCTGTCAGTGTCTTTGCTTCGTCTCGGTTTAACAGAAGGGAGAAACAGGGAGCTTCCCAGTTAAGCATGCAGAGTTTGAACTTTCTCACATTGTCACCGGCATGGGAGGAGCCGAAGAGGATATTTTGCTCCCCGAAGAGATCAAGGAGCGTGTGATTGGTCGGTCGGTCTGTTTGTCATGTTTACTGTCCAAATAAAGTCCAGTCAGCAAAGCTCTACACTTTGCCCTGGAAATAGGAAGTGGAGTATTGGTAAAAACCCTAAATGACTGATAGAAGAGCTGCTTTATTATGATCGTGTCGAGCCAGGTCTCATAAAGCAGCTACTTATTTGCATGTCACAGATTAAAGGAAATGTGTTTTTTCAGAGTTCAAATGATTGCCAAAATAAAAGCATCTACGTTAAATTGAAATAAAGAATGAATACTCTTAAAGCTTAGAACATTCATCTTATCGGCAAGCAACTCAAGTTCAATCAGAGTGAATATAGAGGGTCTGTTTACATCAGTTGTTAAGACTTTTCATTGATTCTCTATTTCAGGGGTGCTTTAGTCCAGTCCCCAAGAGCTACTATCCTGCAACTTTTTGATGCAACCCTTTTTAACACACCTGAATCAAGTGGGTAGCTCATTACCACGTCTCTGCTGTGCTAAATGAGGGAATTGAAACTTTAGATTCAAGGGGTGAGAAGAGAAGAGATGCATCTAAAAGTTACAGGATGACTCTTGAAGACTGGACTTGAGCACCCCTGCTCTATTGGATACAGATCAGTACTTTAATTAGTCCATTCTGACATTAATACAGGATTCAATTAAAAGCTTGGGTAGAAGAAATCTATGGCTTAAATTTGCCTGTGCAAATTCTCAGACAACTGGGTCATACTAATCATAAAGCAAAAAAAAAAAAACAATCAAAAAAAAAAAAAAAAAAAACAATCAGACTTTTGCTAAGTTCTTCTGAAATTGTTTGAACATTTAGTGTCTGTCAGAGAATGACATTTGTAGCCTATATTAGCTTTTTTTCCCACATAGATCTTCTGAATTAAGCTCCATCCATCCTCCGATAAACTCTGACCAACCTCCCTATCTCTGCTAAAACACCCTCCTGCACTGTGTGATACAATCAACTGGGGAGGGTGTGATCTGAATCATGTGACACCAGTTTCCTACCACAGAGTTTTACACATAAACATAAATTATTGCAGCATTGTTCTTTTTTAACCAGATCGACCATGTGTTTCATGGCTTCATGGCTTGTGAAAAACCGTGAAAACAACTTCTTTTGGTTTTCTTTAAACAAAGGCTTTCTTAATGCAACCATAAAGGTGTACCTGAGCTGAGGTTCACTGCACATCCTCCAGAACTACCCTGGGCTTACTGGCTGCTCTGATTAATGCTCTCGATTTTATCTAAATTCGGGAAACATGATTCAGTCAAATGAGACAGAAACTGCAGCGAAGAATTGACTTGTGTAAAGTTGTTAAAAATGGAGGCTGAGATCTCATGCTTCACATGTTAGATTACAGAGATAACACTCAGTATGAATCACCAATACAGCGTGTCAGTGCTCTAAATAAGTTCTTCTGAAAATTCCAAAAAATGATGCTTGGATTTAAAACATATTTCCTGTAAAAATAATCTAAACCTGGAGTCAAAGCTTTGATTTATCTTTATAATTGATCACTTATGATCTCAAAACAATACAAGAACAAATCACTGATTTTGTTTTTTTGGCATAAGTTAGTCTATTTCTAACAAGCTGACATCTACCTAGAAACTAGAGGCAGCTGGGTATCAATTCAGAAACTTAAAGTAAATTAAAGTATATTTAATCTTAATTTGTTGTTTCTAGAATCAAATTCAAATTCTTATCACAACACACTAATTAAAACGAATCAATACAATTTCACTTTAAACTTAAATTTAGAGTTGGACTATGACATAGGCACCAAGTTGTACAGTTTCCAGCAACAGGATAAATCAACTATGGTATTAAAAGTTTCATACCATAGAGAGAAGAACCACAACTGTTTTACACCAATTGTCTCAGAGTTAAAAAGATTACACAAAAATGTCAACATGGACGAGCAGGTGGTGCAGTGGTTATCGTGCACGACCCGTATACGGAGGCCTTAGTCTTCGACACGGCCAACCCGGGTCCGAATCCAGCCTGCAGTCCTTTGCTGCATCTATCTCCCCCTCCCTCATACCCCCTTTCCTGTCAGCCTACTGTCAAAAAAACGAGCCACTAGTGCCGTAAAAACATTTTCAAAGACAGCACACTTAAAGATATAGTGGAGGATAGCCTTTTTAAGTGGTCCAACTAACTGTCAATCATTTTGATGATGTTTACATAAGGCCGTCCTACGTGCTCGTCCCCATTTTTCACTTCACACTTGAGTTTGACATAGTGGAAAAATTGCAAATCTTCTTTTGAAACTTTTAAACAGAGAGTGCAGGAGCCCATTCATCCTCACTCTAGCACGAATTTTAAAAGTGTTCCCTTTTTGGAGCGGGTACAAGGTTGTGCATGTGCATTTTTTTTTTAAAGTGGAGAGGGCAGGTCTTTTCAAAGATTCACAAAATTCCTCCACTACACCTTTAAGTCCAGATTTATACAGTTTATATGCAAAAGAAGTTCAAGAGGCTCGTATTTTTTACAGTGGGCTCACAAGAAAGGTGGAGAGACATGCAGCAAAGGACTACAGGTCGGATTCGAACCCATGTCAATGACTAAGGCCTCTGTACATAGTTTCTGCACGCTAATTACTGCACCACTGAAGCATGCCCCAAAATAAGTATTTTTTTAGGGTTTAGTTATATCTGTTCAGTTACACCTTCTGTTACACCTGGGTAGAATAGATTCAATTATCTACAGGGTAAATATTTGTTAACTAAATAAGACAAAATCCAACCTTGTTCTAACTTCTGGTCCATTTAACTTGTCTCGGGTGTTAGAGCTCAAACTTCGGACTGATAAAATTCTTATGTTGAACGTTTATCGGTTGCAGGTTTTAAAAACAGTAGGGTTTGTTGTGATGCTTCCGCTTTCAGTAATATTGGAGAATAAAAATTCAATTATTTTTTCACTAATGAAATGTATTAACAAATGATTGCAGGATACTAACCGAATAAACTATTTCTGTTTGACAAGACAAAACTTTCAGTTAAAGGTTTGGCTTCAGAGGAATGGTTTTTAATATTTTCCCAAATAGGAATCAAAAAATCTCCACGTAGACAGAGAATTATGTATTCTATTATTTTGTTTTTGTTCATCTTGAAGCCAGTAAATTACAAACTGAAGTGCATCATTAAATAATTTTATTTAACTCAGAGCATGACAGTTCAGACTTCCTATTCTTTACTGGGACCTTGAAAAAGCCAAGACATTTCAGAATAAGAAAGTAATATTCTATTAGATTAGTTACAGCCTGGAACCTCTAAATTACACTGTTGATCGCTGTTTGTCTGGCACAGTAAAGCTTCCCCATCTCATCAATATGTTTTGGCTTAACAAAGTCAATCTGAATGCCAGCTTTCTGCAGAGCAAAACAAAAAAGCTCCTACAAAACAAAATTTTCTATTCATTTCTCCTGCTTGGAAATCAAATCGATTACAGCTTCAGGGAGCCGCATTGTTTAACCACTGAATAGAACACTAAGAAAGTCCATCCCATTAGAACTTGGCCTCTGATGTCAAATCCACCTCAGCACCAAATGCTCCCTGCATAGCATTCTTTTATTTTGCATGTACTATTTTTGTTTTTCCTGCTGAAAAACACCACTCATTTAAATGTCAGGCATAGCTGTGGATGAATGAGAGCAGAGGAGCCAAGGGCCAAACGTCCCCCCAGGAACTTTAAATTCAGCAGAGCTTGTTGTTGTTGTTTTGGTCCTTGCCTTCCTCCATGTGGGGGTAGGGCGCTGTGTGAAGTAAAGAGGGGGCTGCACTCTACTGGACTCCTTTCTTCGTTCATACCACGCTGAAGCCACGCGATAGCTTGTCGTCACAACCTTAAAATGACCCCATCCTTCACGGACGCTCCCGCCAAGCAGGCTATCTCCAAATGTAGATCCTCGCAGCGCGCGCGCGCGCACAGGGAGGGTCACGGGCATGAGCGCACGTGTCGCGGTCTGTTATGATTAAACACCTCGAGGCGTCAAACCCCACTCGAAATGACCACAGCAATGACGCAAACAAAGAAAAAAATGAACCAGATTATGCCAATTTAGAGATTAAATTTTTAACCAGAGGTAATCTGAAGCAATTTAAGTCACAAGGTCGCTCACTTCGGACTTAAACTCAGCTGCAGAGGATTTTGAAGAATGGATGAAATAAGAGAAGCTGGTTGGTAATATGTCAGAATAATATATGTAATTATATAGGTAATAATGATACCGTGTGGGCGCTGGAAACGGAGCATCCTTCCCGGTCCTCTCTCCTGGGTTCGGGTTCCGTCCTGCAGACCCTCGGCTCTGCTGGCCCCCTTCCTAAAAGCTTAGCGTGTGCGCGCCGTCTGTTATGAGACCATGTGTGCACTAAGCATGTATACAGACAGTGGACCCGCCCCCTCCCCTGCCACGGAAGCAGTGCTGTCCTTCTGAGTGACTATCCTACCACCATCTCCTCCTCCGCTTGGTTCCTGCAGCTGTCCGCCCAGTTCCACGGTCTGATCCTTGAAACCTGTCCTCTACACTTATCCCCATCCCTCCTCCCTTCCTCCTCCTCTTACAGGGAACAGTGAACACTATCAGTGAACATTTTGTCCCAACCAGCTGTCTGGGTTACTGTTCTGTTCGCTCATTCTGGATCATCTCTAAACATCTTCAGACTTTAGGTGGAGACAATGTTTGATGCGTCCTCTAGGTTCCTTTGGTGCGCATCAGCTGGGTGCATGGGCGGTTCTAGACAGCGGCCAACGGGGGCCAGTGCCCCTCTAGATCAGCGGTCCCTAACCTTTTTTGCGCCACGGACCAGTTATATGTCAGATAATATTTTCACAGACCGGCCTTTAAAGTGTGGGGGTAAATATGACAAAATAAAATAATACGACTGGCATAAAATCAAATACAAACAGCATAAAAATAAAACTCACCATTATGTTGAATTAGTGGGAGCCCTGAGCTTGTTTCTCTGAAAAAAGCCGGTCCCATCTAGGGGTAGCCGGAAACAATGGCACAAAGTGTGCTCCTGATGTTCAGTCTGCTCCGTAGCTTTGTTTTGGTCGCTCTAACCGCAGGAAATAGGATGCGGGTTAGGGTTATAGATAAGATGCGTCTTGAGCTGAATTAACCAGTGTCAAGAGGCACAGATGCACCGACTAACGTAATTGGGAGAGAATACCCCAATTTTGTATATTTTTCTAAATAAAACATCACTTAGACTCTGATCGTCGAAATAATATATATGTATTTTTTTCTGTGCGGCCTGGTACCAAATGACCAACAGACCGGTACCGGTCCGCGGCCCGGTGTTTGGGGACCGCTGCTCTAGAACATGTCCTGGTTATGGCCCCCTGTCTGATGGGGTTTATAGGCCCGTCAGATAGCGTTCCCCCCCTGATGTCATTTACGTTGAGTTGCAATAAATGCAAAACTCTCTGCAGGTACTTGATTTTTTCGTCCTCTCTATTCAGCTGGCTTTTGAAACACACGGCGAGAAGATGGGGGCCGGGTGGTGAGGGTTACGGGGGCAAGAAACGCAAACGTAACGCAATAGTTACTTTTATTAGTAACTAGTTACTGTCATTGTGTTGTAACTCAGTTACCTTTTGGGAGAAATAAATAGTAACTATAACTAATTACTTTTTCAAAGTTACGTGCCCAACACTGGTGATAGCTTCCGTTGTATTGAGATAGCATCCCAGTTTTCATCTGCTAAATGTTTTTTGTTTCAAATATTAAAAATACAAATTTTTACAGCTGAATTTATCCGTTTTTCTTGAGTTCTAATTCATATTTGATAGAAAACTGTAATTTTAACTTAAATTAAGTGAAAAATATGTAGAATTTCCTAAATTATGAATGTATATAGACCTAATTTTTTATTAAACATAGTTGAATAGAAATTTCACTTCATGCAGCTCTCTTAATATATTTGAATCCCTTGCCCTGTTTTTTGTTTTATGCTTTTCTGTGCCCCCATTAAAACAGGCTGGCCCCCTCCGGGCCCCCTGATACATTTGGTCTAGAACCGCCACTGGCTGGGTGTTATGACAAGATAGAAACTATCCTCCATTCTCTTAACTGATCAGTGGTAAAAAATAAATAAATAAATAAATAGAAAATAAGTTGAAAATACAAAACTATTATTATTTCTGAGCAGAGTTGACAGTGCTGTTAGTGTTAACCAGTTATCACCTGTAATAGCTGGATTTACCCATAGATTTTCTGTGTTCTGAGTCAATGCAATTGACTGATTTTCCTTAGATAGAAAACTTTGAATAAATCTGACTGAATGATCTAGCTGAATTGTCTCTGTAAAGTGCCTTTAGATGACAAGTGTTATGAATTTGTGCTATAGAAATAAGCTGAATTTAATTGTTCATCCAGAGTATGTCTGAATTTTAATGCAATCAGACTGCACGATCATTTAAATAGGAATTATTTGTTAGTTTGTCACTGCAGTTATCATGCTTTATTTTCAGAGTTAGTAATTATTGGGGTTGAATGGAAAGCTTAAACTTTCTGAATCAGATTTTTGACCTTAGATGATTTTTCAGTTGATTTTCCAAACACAAAGTAGCTGATTTGGACATTTGGAAACAAACTGGATTCACCATATGGAAACTTCTGACATGTTTGCCGTTTTGCAGCTAAAACAATAACTTTAAAAAAAATTAATTTCAAGATCTCATTTTGGATAAATGACCACGATGGAACCCATAAATGTATCCCTAACCTCAGCCTAGAAATCCAGTATGGCTACCTCTTGTATAAAAATGTACCTGCTCTGAACGCCCATGAATTTGCTCTTCTGTCTGCTTTTTTGTAATAAAAATGATTTCCAGCATTTGCTGTGCATTAAGCTGAAACATCTTGGGAAACATTTTAGTCTAATCTTCATTGTGTTTAAGTTACACAACCACAAGCCTGTTGTTTTCTTTGTCCAGTGATTAAGAATTATTACTGAAGCAGCTAAATGATGAATTTGTACTGCAGCACTGTGGCTACATAGTTTGCATTAGAGCTACACAATTACAATAACTGATAGCAGATTTAAGAAGACACAAAAGATGAAAAGTGTAAATAAAGACTATTATTTAAACATGGCAGCCATGTTGGCTTTTTAGACCATAGCTGACCGGTATCCTAATCTTGCAAAATACCGTAAGAATTCTGACAATAGGAGACTCTACAGTTGATTATAAATTCTGGATATAAAAAAAAGTGCTGTCATCAAATCCTCCCGATTCTCCAGGTGGAAACCCTTTAAAATGGGTGTTATCATCCTGAAACCCAAGTTTTAACCTTTGAGAAATATAAAACATAGTATAACTGTTAAATTATCTATCCAGTAGGCATTCTGTAAACTTTCCTACTCCTTGCAGGGTAGTCTGAGCTTGGTGCTAAATTCCAGTAGTTAGTGGGGTAGAAATGAGGACCCTAAGCAGGTCGCCTGACAACCACACATATATTTAAGGGCAATTGAGAAACCAGCTATTTTAACATACATTTTCTTTCCTGGAGTCTTCCGAGAAAGCCCAGAGGGAACCCATGCATGCACAGAAATATGAGACACATGGCCTCTGATCTTCCGGCTGTGAAGCAACAGTTTCTACACAGCAGCTCCTCAGCGATCGCCTTTTCTTTAACATCTCCATATGACTCAGACTTAAACAGAGGAAACAGGCATGGTTGTTTATGCATTGTCCATGTTTTATTCATTAGATGACAATCTGAGGTTAGTTTGCCAGCTTACAGTACAGCGCACAATGCAACAAGCAGGTTAGTTAGCACATCTCAGTATTGCAGCGTATTCTCTTTCTGCCATCGGATATTTTCTGGGACTGAGTTTGTTTGTCCCAGTTGGAACCCCTGGTGTACAGCTTCTGTAGAGCTGGCCTTCTGGTTTGGGACGAAACCATCAGATGGAGCCTTCTGATCAGTTCCCTGAGCTGATTCATCAGAAAGCCTCCATACTTCTCATCCAAATCCATTTAAAACAGCTCTGGCATTTCTAATAATATTACGTTATGTCAGAGGATGTTATGATAATCTGTATTTCTTCTGCATTTCTAAGCACTAGAAAAGGAAACAGGAAGAGGGTTGAATTCTCTATGATTCTATTCTTCTCTAAAGGAGCTTCGAGCTACTAAGTGACACGAGAGGAAAAGTCAACAGCAGAGGACGTTGGGTGGGAGGTCTGTAGCTTACAAACGCTCAAAATCAAACACGTCAATAGATAATTACAACAATTTGGTTATTTTATAAAAGAAGCTGTATAAAGTAAAAAAAAGACAATCTTAAGGTTTTATTTACATTCAGAGAAGGAAACATTAGATTCTCTTTCTGCCTGCATAATTTTATCCATTCATGCTTTCTTCTCCTGTGGACCTGCATCTACTTTATGAGCTGTATTTGCGTGCATAGGAGCGCATTGCTGTCTGAATTATCCCAACTAAACCTTCTGAAGACCCAGACTCCAGTTTAAGGATGCAAGTGGAACTTAAGTCATGGCTTAAAACCATTTTCATCACTTAAAACTGGAGCCATCTGCTGGTCAATTGAATTACTTATCTTTGATACATCTTTTCACTTGGAAAACTAAGAGGCACATTCAAGATGCAGCTCAATTCTGCTGAAATAAAAAATATCACCGAAAAGTAAATGCCGGATCCATACTTTATTTTGATTATGTGATTTAGTCGCACACTGAAGCTGCACAGAGAAGCAGTGGTTAATACCGTTTCATCACCTTTAAAAGAAAATCTGCATCTTTTCTAGGGGCTCTTGTTCTCCACTGTTTGTCTATGAATACATAAAAAAATTGTCTTATAAAGAAATGGTGACGGTTAAGTTAAAAACAAACAAAAGTAATCAACCAGGCTAAATATTTATGGTAGAAAAAAAATAAATGCTTCATATTTTTACCTCCAATGGTCTTGTCTGCACCAGTTTTTAAAACCCTTCACTATTTAACTGTCAAAGATTTGTAACATTCTAAGGAATTATAGCTACAGCTACAGTGCAATTAAATTATCAGTTTATTGAGTGTGTCATTATTACAAATCTGCTAACTCCAAGTTTTAGTGAAACAAAAGTATGGCAGTGATGCTGAAAAGGTAAACTTGTTTGGTAAACTTTTACTCACTGCATTCAAATCAAAACAGACGCTTAAATTAATATTAAAAAGATATATTTGTGGGTTTACCTCTAAATATATCACGAGCCAAATGAGCCTGGAGCTTATTTAGGAGCTCCAGACTGTCTTCATCTTGCAGTTAGCAGGTTTGTGGTTATATCCAGAGTAAAACCTGTAAACAAGAGGAGGAAAAAGGAAAATGCTTCCAGTAAACAGTCAATTGTTGAATGTGTTTGAAACAGGCAGTGGATTCGGGAGAGCTCAGTCCCTTTTTCCATTTTGCTGCAGGCATGCATGTATAGGTGTACACTTCTGGTGTTTGTGGATCTAACTCGGCCGGTTGATGATGCTCGACATGGACGGAGCAAAGGGGGGCGGCGGGACCGGATTGACTGGGGAAGCCGGACCTGAGCTCTCGTTGCCATGGGGGACGGCGGCACGGCCGCTGTACTGGCCGATGAAGGAGCCATCCTCGTTGAACTGGATGTCCACACTGTCTCCGTATTCAGCCAGGGAGTCCTCGCTCCCCAGCTTGCTGTCGTCGCACAGAGAGCGCTGACTATCAGAGCGCTTCTCATCTCCATCACTGGAAGAACAGGAATAGAAAAACTGTTAACGGGCGAATAAGCTTTTTCCTTTTACTTTTTCACATTTTGTCACTACCACAAACTTTTGATGTATTTGGACTTCTATGAGACAGACCATAGTAGGGAGATTATAGTTAAAATAAAAAAAGTTTGGATCATGATTTATTTTTCATTTTTTTCCACAAATATACATTCTTCTTAAACAGCTAAAACTCAATCGGATTTGATAAAGAGTGATTAATGTTTTGATCTCTGATACTAAAGAGGTTTGTGATATTCTATATCTGCACCGTCATATGTTCCATCAGATGAGCAATAGTTCCTGCTGCTATTTAATACTTGTGCTGTTTATACAGTGTCTTATAAGTAACTTTTCTGTACACATAAAATGTCATTTACAATATTCTGATTCCATTTCTGGGTCTTCTATATTTATATTTCATACTGCATGTTTTATTCAGATTGTTTCTCTCCTTGCAACCTATTAGCCTGAGCAATTAGCTGTGTTTTGTGATCTTCATTAAGCTGCCTTTAGAGCACCTGCATACGGAAGAGGATTAGGGCCACTGGAAAAAAAAGTTAACAGATTTTTTTTTATTTTATTTCAGTATAGTATGGGAAAAAAGTCAGAATTCTGACTTTAATCTTAGAATTCTGACTTAAATCTCAGAACTTTTTTATTGTCAGAATTCAGTCAGATTTCTGAGAAAAAAGTCAGAATTCTGAGAAAAAAGTCAGAATTCTGAGAAAAGTCAGAATTCTGACTTTTTTCCACATACTAAAGTGAAATAAAATAAAAAAAATCAGATAACTTTTTTTTTTTTTTTCCAGTGGCCCTAATCCTCTTCTGTACCTGTATGTATGCCATCTGTTCCTAAAGGAAATTTCTGAGAAAAAAAAGTCAGAATTCTGACTTTTTTCCCATACTAAACTGAAATAAAATTTAAAAATCAGTTAACTTTTTTTTTTTTTCAGTATCGTATGGGAAAAAAGTCAGAATTCTGACTTTAATCTCAGAATTCTGACTTTTTTCTCAGAATTCTGACTTTAATCTTAGAATTCTGACTTTAATCTCAGAATTATGACTTTAATCTTAGAATTCTGACTTTAATCTTAGAATTCTGACTTTAATCTCAGAATTTTTTATTGTCAGAATTCAGTCAGATTTCTGAGAAAAAAGTCTGAATTCTGAGATTAAAGTCAGAATTCTGAAAAAAAAGTCAGAATTCTGAGATTAAAGTCAGAATTCTGAGAAAAGTCAGAATTCTGACTTTTTTCCCCATACTAAAGTGAAATAAAATTAAAAAATCAGATAGCTTTTTTTTTTTTTCCAGTGGCCCTAATCCTCTTCTGTACCTGCATGTATGCCATCTGTTCCTAAAGGAAATTAATTGCTCTGTATTTTATCAAGGTATAGGAGTAAAGGGGGTTATTATAAAAATGCATGTCATACTTCTCAAAAAATGTTTCATTTGTAAAATATTATGTAAATCCCTGTTCACAACTGTGCACTGCTATGTGTTGGTCTGGTATGTAAAATCACATCAAAACTCAGTAAGGTTTGTGGTTGTGATGCAACAAAATGTTAAAAAGGTTAAGAGCTGTGAATACTTTTTTGCAATGCTTGGTTACAACCAGTTATAAAACTTAGGAACATACAGTGATGTAGAACAGATATTAAAACTGTAAATGGAAAGCTTTAATGATGATTCATTGGAAAATATGAAGAAAGCTGCAGCAGCTCAGAAAGTTTGTTTTTACTCGGTTGCTATCAGTCAGAAGCAAATGTTTCTGCAGTGACACAAATTCCGGCTTTTAAAAACCTTTTTGGTTCTTTGGGATAAAACTTCCAACAATTTTAGATTCACAGTAATGAGATGCAGATTGAATGATGGGAAATGCATTGAATGGATTAAAAGGTTCAGCTCAGTTATCTCCGGCCGTCAGGGCGCCATGTCTCCATGTTTAAGATGTCTCACTCCTCCAGCAAAAAGGATCACCTCATCAGTGTACCATTATGCAGGTTTCTGCAGAAACCCACTAATTAACCTATTCCTTTAAATAAGGTTTTTTATGCCTAAAACATGCAGGACAGTGAGTCCTGGGGTTCAAGGATGTGTCATATTGGTTTAGATAAAAAGTAGAAGCATCTTCCTCTCAGTAACCGTCATGAATCCAGCCTGTTTGTTTGTTTGTTTTTGGTCTTGCTAGCTTTTTCCCGCTCCATACTTGTTCTAGTTTGCCAAATAGAGTAAGTAAGTAGATGCACCCTATCAATTCCCCATTAATCCAAATTCCTCCCAACTGTCCCTCAACCTATTTCTACCTGCCTTTCTAATTTTTTCCCTGTCAGAATATCACCTCATAGCTCATATGAGGATGTTTCCAATTGTTTGTGTGCCCTGCTCGCTTTCCTGTGTTCACCCTGCCATCACTAGCTCTTCATTCCAGTCAGTGTCTTTCTACGTTCCTGTGCCTGGCTTACCCTCAGTCATTTCTCATCAGTTTCTGACTCTGGACATGTTTTTGATTGTTTCTTCCCGGCACCAGTTAGTTCAGCCTGCATCCAGTCTCCTCAATGCCTGTTTGCACTCAGTTCACGTACAATCAGTCAGTACAGCCTGTCACCAGCTGACTTTTCAGGCCTGTTACCAGTCTACCTGTCGGCTTCAGCTAGTCATCAGCTGAGTCTTTGGCTGATATCCAGGGTTCTCACAGGTTTTTGGGTTACAGTATGTACCTAGAATTATCCGGTAAATGTGCTTTATTGGTCAGATCTTAAGAAGACGTGAAAGAGTTTTGCTGAAACCGATATAATCACTCCCAAAATGCTTTAAAAAGAAGACTAATGGGACTGAAATATGGTTTTGGTTTGTTAGCAGCAGGAGCACAAGTTAGGACACTGCTTCTGAGAATAACAAAGCTTGAAGAGCGGTTTTTGGATCAGCAAGAACTTTAAGGAGAAAAGTTATACAGCAGTGAAGAAAATAAAACTTCAGCATGTCTAACCTCCACAAATGGGTATGGCTGTATCTATATTTACAAGAGGGTCAAAGTAACCATTTCTGTCTAAGATAGATATGAAAGCTGGATTGAAATTCTGAATAACAAAAGTAGGGATGGTATCTTCCTGCAGAATAGAAGACCCTATCCAAAGGAAAAAGCAATGAAGAAGCAAAAAATAAAACAAACTGAATATAAAAAACAAAACAAAAAACATAACTCTTCAGATCCCAGTGGTGAAACCTGTGGTTTGTCTTGATAAAGCAGGTGGAGAAACAAAAACTAATAAACTGATCACCTTGAAGCCAAATAAAGGGTCACCATTAATGTTATGAAGAAAGATCAACACAAAAAATCAAGTTTTTATAGCTTTTAAAATTATTAAATGTTCTGAATTGCTCTCTTAGCTCCTCAAAAAACATTTGTATTTGTGTCACTGCTGGAACCTTGAGCTTTGACCGAATTTCAGAGTAAAAACTGCTTTTATTCGCCTCAACAGTGAAATAAGCTTGTAGCCTGTGTAAAATGAAAATGATGCAGAGAGAACTGAAACAAAAAATGCATTCAGGAAAGATTTTTTTGTTGTGAGGAAGCATCCAAGTGGGGTTGCAGCAGTATGAAGCAAATGGTTCTTATCTGCCCAAATCTGAATTATTAACAAAAAAAGTTTTTGTTCTGTTTTCCGAAGATTTGTTATAACCTCCCTGAATAACCTGTTCTGCAGTCACTTTTAAAGCAGCATAAGATGATATACTGATATTTGCAAAGATGGGAGGCATACATTTGCTTTAAAGTGACAAAGAGAAACTATGGAAAAGTAGAGAACAATAAGCAATGTTGATAATGAGGTGGAGGTGAAAAGCAAGCATCAATAGCAAGTCCTTTTTCTGTTTAAGTCCTATTTTTATAATTACTTCAAATACTGATCTGGGGAAAAAAAACAACTAAAACTATCTTGCTGCGGAAGCAAAACAGCGTGCCGAACCGTTGACAACAAAGAAGCACATGACAACAGGACGGTGGACTCCCTCACCTCTCCAAGGATCTGCAGGACAGGCGGTGAAGGAGGAAAGAAAGAGATAAGAGCTACAATAACACAAAACAGCTGAAGGAAACCCTGCGATTAAACAAAAGAAGAGTTTCTGGGAATCATTCAGCAGCAGTGTTTCCATTTTATTTTAAGGAGAGACGCCCCACTGCTCCCCCTTATCTACAGCCAATGTCTGAATCATGGACTGAATTCACAGTAACGAGTCTGAGTTAGAAGTCCATGAGGACTAATATTATTTGTAGCAAAGGTGGGATATTATTACGTTAACATGAACAGATATCTCAAAATAATGTTTCTGAGACACCTTTCACTCTATGCTACAAAATGTCAGGGCAGTTTTGATGGGAAAAGGGATCCAAACTGGTTCTGGTAGAAAGTGGCCAGTGAGCATCTCTGTCTACGTTCATTTTCCTCTTGTTCTATTATGTGTGTGTGAAAATCAACTATTTACTCTTCCTAGTAAATACCTACCTGTACTCTCCGAAGGTCTCATCTTTGTTCTGAAGGTCAAAGTCGATGTCCTTTTTTTCTTTTTCCTTCACTGTGAGTAGAAAAAATATTCCTCCACATCAGTAACATTACGAGATGCTTTATGTCACATTGTCTGCAGATCATAAGTGAAGGTGTACCTGCATATTTTCCACCCCTTCTGCGCTTAATCAAACAGAGGATGAGGAGGATCAAGATCAGAAGCAGGATGGCGCTTATCAGTCCTATCAACCAGCCCTGGGTGGCAAACCTGCCTGGCATTTCTGACGGCACTGTGAGATAGAAAACATTTCATCTGTAAGGCTTAAAATCTTCTCATTTGCTGTTTAGAGATGGGGCTACTGCGTTCTCCTCTTATTTATTCTTCTCTGCAGTTTGAAGTAGTTTATGTATACGTACAATTATTTGATCCCAACAGGTTAAACCTCTGCCAACCCACCTGGTCCTACGGTTCGGAACACCCCCTGCCACAGGGTGCTGTTATCATGGTCAATCATTAGGCTGTATTCTGTTCCTGGTTGGAGTCCTGACAGCGAATAGAAACCTTGCGAGGAGTTGAGAAGCTCTGATTTCTCCCACTGACCGCCAGCTGTACACAAAGAGGAGCATCATAAATTTAAAAAAGTTTTTCTGGTTACCTGGTCTGCCTGTATTCTTACCTAGAAGAGCCAGTGAAAAGCATCATTTTCATGCTTTATAGGTTGATTTTTTTCCCTATGGTTGGAATTAAACATTCAGTAGTTTTTGTGTTCTCTGTTATGTACACATGCTGTCAACAGCATTTTCTGGTACATCAATCCTGCCAAAGCAGTTTATAACAAGAGATTTTGGAATCAGGGTTTAATATTTTCAGGGTTTTTAATGATGTCATCAGTCTGTCTTGTGCTCAAGATGAGTATGTATATTTTGTAGGTTTTTTTTTTGTAAAACATTCATTAATATGTGCCTGAGTGTCGCCACAGTTGAGAGACTAACAAAGCAACAAAGCCTTTGCATTTTCCTTCTTGGTCTCCTAGCAACCAGAGGGGCTGAAAGGGTGCAATATGGAGGTTTGTGCCCTTCTCTGTAGTTCAGTACCACTCTTAGTAATGGCTGAGCATACAGCTCTCTATGAGCAGACTTTTCGGGAACAGAAGTTTTCTTTCCTACCTGCCTTCATTAAAAGATCACCTGAAACACTGAAGATTATTTATGCCTTTGCAGGTAAGGCTGAGCTTTACCACAGGTATAGTTCCCTGCAATACAAAATCTTAAATATTCCACATATTAGACCAGAACTATAATGCTGTTTGTGTACGTTTCAATTGAAAAAGCTCTGCCTGAAGCAAATGCAACATTCTGCTCTTTCTCTGGATTATGGGTGAAACATCAGGCTCAGTGTGAGCAGCACCCTGGTTCTGCGGAAAGTTTCTTCCTGTTAAAAAGGAGATTTACTCTCCACTGTCGCTGCAAGCATGCTTGGCGTGAGAGAATGCTGTCGAGTCAATGAGTTGATGGAGTCAGCTGGTTTTTCTTGGATAGAAAACTTTGAACCAACCTGACTGTATGAACTGGTTGAATTGTCTCTGTAAAGTGCCTTGAGATGTGAACTAGTATAATATTACTGGTATAATAGTGAACTATAAATAAACTGAATTTAATTGAACATTGTGAACAAGAATGCTTTGTAAAGACAGTCTCCTGAACACAAGCAAAAACATTTTTAAATAAATTATTTGATTTTTCCTTCCTTGTTTGCAAGGTCTCAAAAATCCTCTCTGAAGTTAAATATTTTATTAAGTTAAATTGTTTTATTTTTTTACAATAGAAATCTTAAGGACAGTGAGAGCAGCAAACAGGTTGTTGCCATAGGGTTTATTCTGCACAAGAAACACATTTTAGCTGGTTTGTGTTTCCCTCGCCTTTCTCCTGCTGACCTGAGCTTTCTAATCATATTTTCTCAGTTCCTTACCACTCTTCCTGAGGTAGGAGATTTGGAAACCTCGGTTTCTGTGGCGCTCTCCAGGGACCCAGCTTAGGTTGAATGACGTATTACCGGAAACTACCGTGATGTTTGATGGAGGAGCTGCAGGAGGAAGACAGAGGCAGCAGGTTTTACTGCACGCTTAAACAACGTAACACACATCCAGGGAAAGGGGTGGTCTCATGCTCCTGCTATGGATTCTACCCTGTTATCAACAGCCATCATGAAACCATCATTGTATGATTAGGTATCACTCTTCTGTAATAGTGAATTTATTATCTGATGGATATTGCAATTAAGTGCTGGGGATGTTGGGAAGAAAAGAGGGGGGGGGGAAAGTCTGTGTTGTCTCACCTCCTTCTAGTAGGGTGGCGCTGATCCTTTCAATGGCAGGACCGTCTCCTGCTGCAGTTTGGGCGATAACTTTAAAGAGGTAAGAGCTGCTGGGATCCAGATCTTTGAGTTCAAAGGAGTCTACTTTGGGGTCTGGGATCTCCCTCATCACCACATCACTGTCGTCACCCATTGAAACTAAACACAAATCAAGCCGATGTGTTCAGTGCCACGTGTAAAATACACACTTCCTAAATAGTTTACACCTTGACAATACTTTCATGTATTTTTTATTAAAATCTGAACTTTTTCTTTGTAGGAAACACAAAACCCTGTTCTTAATCATCGCATTGTAAAATAAACCAAAAATAGCTCATATTAAACTATTTTTTTCCCTTTAAAGCAGTTAAAAATTTACCTTTCTGGTACAGAACTCTATATCCCTTAAGTTTTCCGTTGATTTCTTCTGGAGGGGTCCAGTAAAGAACCAATGAGGTATCTGTGGGGCTTTCAAACCTCAGTGATGAAGGAGGACCAGGAGCTGTGAAGACAAAATCAAACACATAAAATAGGAGCACAAAAGGATTGTTGGTTAAACTGGGCTTAGATTTAAAAACAAATACAAATCACCACATACATGTGCCCCTGAAACATAGGAATAACTTACTGTGGTTTTTATCTGGTTTTTCTACAGAACATATCAGAACATTAGTCAGTTTACTCCATTATTAGGGAGCCGACTTCCTGTTAGGCAGGTCAAAAGTATATTTGATAGGATTTATGATGATGTGATGGTCCTAAGTAGCTGATTTCTTTACTTGTGCCTTGGACTGGCTCTGTTTATATTGCTTCATACTCTGATGGATTCACACCTAGAACACATTTTATCGTTAAAACCAAATGTTTGTTCTAAAAAAAAATGTGGTTTATGCAAAAATGTTTTTGTAAGTCATGGTCCTCAAAGGGTCAGAATCATGGGCGTAGGTTTGCATAGGGATCGACCTATTTGTCCCTACCAAAAATTAGATGTTAATAACATGTTTATAATTTACAATACTCAACTCAACTCAAACTTTATTTATAAAGCACATTTGAAACAACCGGGGTTGACCAAAGTGCAGTACAGGAATCACAGTTAAGTAACATAAGATAAAAACTGAAAGCTTAAATGCATAAACACATTACAAAAAGAAAAATTGAATGGAGATAAAATATAATAGGATAAATGTTTCAATTAAAATACATTTTAGAATAAAATAAATTTAAAATAAAATTTTGCCAAATGTCCACTTAGACATGATTAAAAGCCAGGGAGAAGAAGTTTGATTTACCTCTGCACAATTCTATATCTTCTAAAAGAAAGTATAAATCCACATATAACAGACATATTTAGACTATATTTCTGTTAAATAGGCACAGATTTACCTACTGTCTTAGTCGCTGCTAATTTCAAATCCAAACCTTTTCAAATTGGAAAAAGTCCTATTTCCTCATTCATGTGTGTAGTGCTAATAAAATTTGTATAAATGTAGCAAGAAATGCTGCTTTTCTCTTTAAATTAAACACACCCTGATTTTCACGTTAAGCATAAAAAACGAGCATGCATATTTTTGCATAAGACCAATGACATCAGACCAAAAGTGTCCCTACCAAAGTTGAAATCAAACCTACACCCTTGGTCAGAATAAAAAATGAGACAATATAAAAACCAGAGCTCAGCATTCATAGGTTAAACCCTGACAGGAGCATTCCTATTATTTTGTTTAATCATACCTGATCTGGGCTGAACTGTGTTCTTCTGAAAATATGATCAGTTGGGTTTTTAACCTTTATTTGGTTGGAAAAATCTCAGTTTTCCCTAAACGGGAGCAAGTTTCTACATGAACCTGCAATCTGAGGTCTGGATAAGTTGATTTTGGACTCACCTCCCTCTGGGGTGTTGAAATGTGCAGGAGGGGAAGGAGGGCTCTCCCCTTTGCTGTTAAAGGCAGTGAGCTTCAGCTCATAATGGGAGAACAGACGCAGATCAGTGACTTCAGCAGATGTCTTTGCACCATGGACATGCACCACCCTGCTGTCCCCGTTCGTCGGTTTGTGTTTTTCAAGTCTATCTCTTTCCTTCATGTGGTGATGTTTGCCAAGCGACCTCCTCTCTCGTGCACTGTGGGGACCCAACCTTCTGATGTATATCTGATGAAGAGGAAGACACCAGAAAAAAATTACACCTGCTGATTTTGCTGAGTTCTCACATTTAGCTTAAGAATTTAAAATGCTGGACGGACAGCTGTTTACCATAACCCAACTAAAAGGCCTTTATTCTAAAACATTTAGGTATATTTGTTAAAATGGGACACCTCTTTAGGTGGTTTGCATGCCACCAGTTGTTCATTTAACCTATATTTCCCATAAAGTCAGGATGCTGTACTGAGCTCATCATGCTCCCTGGTGAGACGTTTAAGTGGTGAAGTTGTAAAGAAAACGGTACCTTGTAGCCCAGCAGATGACCACGGACGTTCTGCGCTTCGTTCCACGTCACTCTGACCGTGCTGTTCATCACAGTGAAAGAAACTCCAGTGGGAGGCTCCTCTGGCTCTGAGACAAGACAATAAAAAAATGACAAAGTAGATGTCAGGAGAGAAGAGGGAGTTTTACAAGGCAGAATGACGACCCAGCACAAAATCATGCTGGGAAAAAATCTGAAATTTAGTTCCTTACATAAAATAAATAATAAAATCTTGATTCCACTCCAGGTTTTCTTTTGTAAACTTATGCCATCAACTGCACCTTATGTCCATTAATATGATATTACATAATACTTTTAAACCCAGCTAAGATATATGTTTATGAAATAAAGAATATAACAACCCTCCTATTTTTTTACTTGAATATCCTGGTGTGATTTTAGGGCAGAGTGGCAGGATATGTTAAAAAGGAAAACATATTTTTTACAGTTTGGATGTTCATATTCAACATTTTTCATTTAATCTCTCAAACTCATACAAAAAGGAAAAAAATGATATACAGTATAACATATCTCGTTACCATTCTGTTGTTTTCTGGGTGCTTTTAATAGCCCAATATCAGAAGACCACCAAGGCAGCTGGTTCTGAGTTCTTAGTTCTGATTTTTTACAATTATTTTGAGTGTGTGGTTTAGACATTTTTTTTTAAAGTAAAAACTCTCAGAGAGGGGTGTGGAATGAAATCTGGTCAGACAAAATTGAACTTTTTGGTGAACTGTTTGTGTCAAAAAACTCAGCATCCTCACTGTAAAACATAACATCATACTGTGGGGATGCTCTGATTAAGTGGGGATGAGGAAGTTTCTAAGAGCCGGCAAAAGAGATGAGATTGGAGCAGGGATACATGTTCCAAAGACAATATAGATACACCCAGAGCTGTACAGAACTCTGCTGACATCAACTTATAATCCTGTGTCCAAAATCAGAAAAAGAAATCCCCCTATCCAATCAGAAAGAGCTATTTTGCATGGCATTTGACAAATATTGGAGTAGTTTAAAGTTCAAGGTGCCATAGATGCAAGTCTACAGACCAGCAGCAAAAGGTGTAGGTAAGAAGTATTGACTCAGCAGGCTAAACATAAATGATTTTTAACTTGTGTTACTTTTAACAATTGGTTTAAACTCCACAATCGTGCACTTTCTTGTTTGTGTGCACCACAAAACCCCCTGAAAATAAATAATAATATAGTAAATAGAATGGATTGAAATTTGAGGTTGAAATGTGGCAAAGTACAAAAAAGTTCAAGCGATAATGTCTGTTGGAGGGCATTGTAAAACAATCAAAAATAGTCTTTTCCTGTCTGTTATGCAGTTTTGCTACCACTAGGGGGCAACCACAAAGTATATCACAGCTGGTGCCAATAGTGCATGTTGTTATTAATCAAAATAGTCAAAACAATATGAAAATGTATTCAAGTAATGGCCTCAACCAGAATAGGGTAAAATACAGTTAACATATGTGTTTAAGTAAAATCTGTCAAGTTAAAATTAATTCAAATCATAAAGTTAATTGAAAGTAGCCATGAAGTCTCAAATGCATCAAGCTGAATAATCCCATATAGTGCATTGCTCCTAGTGTTTATTTAATAACCACAAGGACTATGAGACTGGAAAAATGAAGAAGAAGAAAAGATCTGATGACGTACTGTCCTCCCCTGAATGTCCGGTCCTCGCCTCTGGTGCAGGTCCTGATCCATTTGCATTGACAGCCTGGACTTTCATCTCAAACGGTGTGAAGGTTCCAGTGTTATTTACTATAAACGGAGGAGACTTGACATAGGAACTTTCCCAGTTTGTGTTTTGGCTGTTAGCCTCCCGCCAGAACACCTGGTACCGGAAGTCCTGGCCGTTGTGGAGACGCTTTTCCATCTCCTGCAGTGACACATAGAATAAAAAGATTTGGTTCAACCGGTGTAACAACTGAAACTTCCAAACACATTCACAGAGGCACTTACATCCCACGTGATGAGCAGAATCCCTGGTTCTGTTGAATTAGTGCGCACATTAGTGGGGTTTGAATATGGAACTGTGGGAGTTGGAAGAGAAGACCACAATTAATGTTGGGAAGAGTTTAATCATACCCACACACAGGGGGGATTTACCATTGGGCAATATTAGGCAGTTGCCTAGGGCCGCAAGTTCCTAGGGTCCCCATATGGTTGAATACAACTAGTCCTTATTTGTGCACATTAATTATGTTTTGATAAAAATCCTTTTGCCAAAATGCCATCACAAAGCTTATAATATTAGGTGTGTCTCAGGCCCTTCAGTGTCCACCACATTGGATCAGTCCATTTGCTACACATGTTCAGGAAGGTTCAAACAGAAAGCAAATGATGCGAAGAGCAGTGTTGTAAACTTAGCGCTTTTGTTGCTCTAGTTAGCGACTTTTCAGACCCCTCTAGCGCTTTTTTAGCGCCTTTGTCGACAACATCTAAAAGCAGCGAACTCTGCTCTCCAGAGCAAGTAGATTGGTAACCCCGCCTCCTGCTCTCCTATATCTTGCCTGCTGTCATGAATCATGCAGCCATTATTTCATCCAAATGAAAAATGGAGAACAGATTAGCAGATCACAGCTTGTCTACAGTGAAAAGAAGGACTAGGTTATTTACTTTTGCCATCGCCTTTTTGGAAACACAGGAAGGGGCAATCAGCTAAGTGAGCTTAATCCTTCATAGGGCCCTCAGTGAAATACTTTGAAAAAAACATTTCAAGCCAATAGTGTTATTGGAATCCAGGATAAGACCTTATTACCTTTGTAACATTAAAAAAATATGGATATTTTGATGGCAAAAAGTAATGTCAAGAAACGCCAACTTGCCGAATATATTAAGAAAAATAACAAAAGTGCTTCTATAAGAAATGAATGAAAAACAAAGAGCAAAAGAAACACATTTTCTGGTACAACATTAACCTAGAGGCATTAATGCTGATACTGGCACTTACATTCTTTAGTTTATAAACCTAAATATAATTGTTAACTAGGCTTATTAACTTTTTAACTTTTTTTAATTAGCTTTTTACCTTTTTTTTATTGAATTATTAACTTTTTTCAATTTAATTTACAGTAGTTAAAATCTCATTCAAGGGCTCATCTAATTGATCAAATCCCAAAATAAGAAGTACAGCCATGTAGCAGCATCTTGCTGAATGGGTGGATATAGATCTTTTGCTTCTAGACCTCACTGAGGGACGCGGAACTCTTTGTAAGGGGTATGCAAGTGATCAAAAACAGTAACTTCCCCTATAAAGGGTTAATGCTCGGAAAAAAACTATTATTCCTTTTGAGACAGCATTTAAAGTCAGCCGAGTACGAAACATTAAGAGAAAAACAACAAGGAAAGGGACGAAAACGTTGAACAAATAATCTGTCTATTCTATTAAAATTTCTGTATCTGTATAATGGGTCTATTTTATATGTTGTCTTCTCAATTCAGAGGGCCCCAAACCTGTCTTTGCGTATGGCCCCAAATTTCCTAAATCCACCCCTGTCCACACATTTAAGAGACAGTTTTTATTTAAGCCCTTCAGTATAAAATAAACATCAGCATCTGTTAGATAATCCCATTTTTATACATGTTGTGATCCTAAATTATAAAGAACTTGCTCTGGACCTCATTGGATTTTAGGAGGAAATATATATATATATTGGAAAATACAGGTGGTGTCAACACAGTTGAGAAGGTTTTACCTGTAGGTGGTGTAGCGTGCTTGTTGGTTGATTTGCTTGGGTGACTCCTGCCAACTTCATTACCAGCGATAACTCTGAAGCGGTAAATGCAGAAGGGCTGCAGGCTGAGCTGGATGTGACTGAAATCCCCGGGTATCTCCTTCAGCACCTGCCATCTTGGGTTCCCGCTATCTGTCTGGGGCTGCTCTTGGGCTTCCACAATGAACTCTGGAGGCAAATTATGTAGTCATGTTTTAGGTCACAGAAATATGTTATAT